ATGTTGATGCAAAGGATAAATTATCCTTCAACTCATCTTTTTCCTTCTTTTTCTTTGTTCCCAACAAGGTACTGCTAATTTTAACAATTATGACAACCATGCATTTCATTTGATTAAACATTAAATGGAAGTTTGAAACTACTGCCTCTTGGTTTCTTACAAATGCTTGGGTGGCATTTGGCAATGTTGTTTTGGCTTAAATTTAAATAACATTTGCTTTAACTTCGATCCTCTGTTACCCACTTAAAACTCTTTTATATTTGGCAAATATCCTCAAATTTTCTTTATCATCAAAAGTGCTACCTAGTTTCACAGCTTGACCTAAATGCAATTAATCAGACCTCCGAATCATAAATTTGAGAGAAGTTTTACCTAAGGGCACTTCTTTAATCAAAGCTCCAGCAAACTCTGGCTCTGTCGACCTTCTTTATTTCCTTCCTTCCTTTGTCTTTTTTTCTGTTTTAGTGAAATATAGCTCTTATTTACCGGAGATGAGTTGAAGCAAGTTCTTTGTGTTTAAGCCATAATTTGTATTATAATTATTTTTTACTAAACTTGAGTAGGTGTCTGTTCAGAATTATTACCTTGTGTATTGATTTGACCTCTTGGCTAAAAAGGTTTTGTCCGTCTCGTTTTCACTAATATCACTAAGGTGCAATATCACCATGTCTTTAATGTGCAGATAATACTTTTAGTGCATTGTATCTTGTCTCCAGCTGAAAAGCTATTGATGTAGAATGATGCCCCTAGGAAAAGTGTCTAAATTTTACAAGTTCCTGAATCAACGCTACACCAATCTTTTCTTTTATATACATCTTCTTGTTTCTTGTATCCCTATATTTGCATCTTTAACATTTTCATTTCTGCTCCTCCCACCTTTCTCTGAGGTTATCTCTTTAAAACCCAACTTTCATTACCATATGTTATAATTTGAGCCCATGACCAATTGGTCACCAAGGTACAACTTTACTATTGGGCTAGGGTTCACCCTCCTCATTTGTATTACAGATCCCAAATATTTAAAATAGAAACATTTGGTCTGCCTCCAAAGTTCAAGCTTAATGTTAATTACTTTCCATGATTTCTCAATCAAGATTATAATCTACAAAAAGCATGCAATTAGGATGATCTTTTAGATTTCTTTGGATATTGTCAGGGAGAAAGAATTTGATTTAACAGCATTTCTATGGATATCTTTCATGCCATTTGGTATTGAAGCTTGGCAATAATACAAATTTCACAAAAACTTAAGAAAACCGTGGGGGTGTTTATTATTATAAACTTTTTGTATTTCCCTTCAATGCACTTGTTTCATCCTTGGATGTAAGACTTGAGCGTTACTTTGTAAAACTGAAGACAGGGAGGAAGGAGTGACATAGTTCTCCTGTTTCAAGATTCCCAGCTCCATATGTTTGTGGTCAAGATTTCAAATATCTTGGTCATTAATGATAATTTGAGCTTAAGCAAATCAGAAGAGGAAGACTTGAATGTTAACAGGGTCTTGACCACGACCATCTAGTGTTTGTGGAAAGTACAATAGTGTACATTTGCCAGGATCTGCGTTTCTTACCTTAAAAATATTTAAGGTGATCTTCGAATGATTCTTCCATTAAGGTGCTATAATTATGGTCTTTTATCATTACAAGATCCAGGATGTCTTCACGTTTCTTTTTTTAAATTATTTGTTTGATTTGATTATGTAATCATGTCTTACAATTCTTATCTTTCCAGTCATAATCAAAATACGGAAGTGAGAATCCTGAGTGCTTTGAATCTCTATTTATTTTTTGTTTTGTAATTCTTGGTCTATTGATGCTTTTAGCTTTATATAATAATCCTTCTGAACCCTATACCTAAGCATACCTGGCAATGCAGGTTGCAGAACGAACTCTCTTTTTGTGGAATAATGAGCACATTGTCAGCTTAATTGCCCAAAACAGGACTGTAGTATTACCCATAATATTCGAAGCATTGGAGAAAAATATCCAAAGTCATTGGAACCAGGCTGTTCACGGACTGACCGTGAACGATCAGAAAATGTTCATAGAAATGGATGCAGAATTATTTGAAGAATGTCAGAGACAGTATGCAGAGAGGGAGGCTAAAGCAAAAGATTTAGAAGAGCAGCGGGAATTGAATTGGAAAAGACTGACAGATGCAGCTGCACAGAATGGGGTGGATATGGTCACAGCTTAGTCAAATTACTTTTCTGCCTGAACTGGGACTGTGAATTGGATCGGTGAAGGATTACATGTGCTCCTCGCCATTTTGGTGCCACATTATTTATTGGTTTCTTTCTTTCCCACTTAATTTCTTTTTCCTCTCTATTTTCTCAGTTGGATACTCCGCAAGTTGAAGAAATCAGTGATTAATGTAGCTTAAAAGTGCAGTTGGATAATCAGTTAGACGTTGTTAGCAATGTCTGCAGATTAAGAATGTTTAATGAAATACTTTATTGTATTTTTTTTTTCACTTACAGAGAGAAATACGGATAATTTTTTCCTTCTGGAAACAGATTCTAGTGCCCTTTGGCACAAAAAGTAGGGTGCCTGATTGGGGAACTAGGGCAGGTTTGGTTTGGCACTGGTTTTTGTGAGGAGCTGGTTTTGTACGGGGGGTTATGTACGTATCATATAAAAGGGCTGGTGATTTACTTGTACAATAGGGCAACGTTGCCTCCAAGCATTGCGGCAAACATGTTCGATGTAGCCAACCATTGATGATCACTCCCCTAATTTGGATCTCCGATCAAAGGCATTGGAGATTTTCCTGTTGTTGATTTGGAACGCCTTTCAAAATGTCTCAGTTAATTGTATTGATTTTCCTTTTGATGTAACTGTTGAGATTTGTTCTCTTTGAAGCTGATATTCCTGTTTTAGATTGATATTTTATCCCTATTTTGCTCATGAGTCTGTTCTACAAAATTCTCTTAATCTTCTTAAGTACTTGATTCCTGCATATGTTTACTTCAATTGTTCTCAGGGCTAGGCCTACTCCACAGTTGCACTCAAAGAAGAAATGGTTCTTCTAAAATCACAAACAAATCAATGAGTTTCTCTACCTTAACAACCTATTCACACGACCTTTTGTTTTACTTTTTTTATATAAAAAAAACATTGAGAAATAGGGAAATATATTAATGTAGAAACTTCAATATTTTATATTGCTATTTATATAGTTAAAATATTTTAAAATAAACAGGATACTAAATAGCAAATAGTTTCACCTTAGTTAAAAATATTTAATATAAACCACAAATTTTAAGAAACAATTCAAATGCTATTTTTAAATGTTTTTAAAAACAAAAATTATAAAAAGATTAAATTTACGTTATTGTTCTAAAGATGAAGAGTTAAATTAGTTCAAAATTTTAAAAATGGATTAATTTTAATTTTTACTGAAAATTAAGAGATAAAAAATATATTTAACTTTTTTAAAATTATGTGTGAATGAGGTATACCAAAATATTATGTAATCTTATTTGAGTGATGAATATTCAAAATTATATAAATACGATATTATACAATAACAATGATATATGATTGATATTACTTAACAATGATATATGATTGATATTACTTAACAATGATTGATATTTGATATTACTTAAAATCTTAAGACGATGGATTAATAAACTTTTATTTTTATATAATACTTTACTTTCTTTATTTCTACTCAATACAAAATTTAGACTATTCTAATACTTATCCAAACATATTATTAGCTATATTAATAAATTTCTACTCAATACAAAACTTAGACTATTCTAATACTTATCCAAACATATTATTAGCTATATTAATAGACACTGGATTAGTTATATCTTTGTTAATATAATATTGTATATCCATTGCTTGTATCTAAACAAATTATTAAATATTAATATATTATAATATATTAACAAAGATATTGGGTTAGGTCTATGTTTGTTAATATATTAATGTATATCAATATTTTATAATTTATTTGGACAATAGTAATGTACAGTATGATGTTATTAGACTCTGTTACCTTGAATTCTCATAACCGGCAACTTGTAGTATTCTTTACTTAGCCAACACCTTCATTCAAGTCAGTGTAATATCCAAGATGGAATACTATGACAGCAAGTCAAATAAATCCATAAAATACATATCAATCTCGGTTAAGTCAAGTAACAATGGTTATTAAGTAATTTGGCCCTGGTTAGGTCTAAAAAAAATAAAATTATATTATAGAAATATGTGATCTAAGTAAGACATTGACGGTTTGATATGCTAGCATTTATTATAGTTTACAATCGTTGAAATATCTTATCTATATACAACTCTATTGGATCAAAAGCACCTAAGCTTAAAAGGAGCGGAGAACTCAAAAAATCCAAGAACTAAGAAAGATCATTCACAGAAATATGTAATATTCATTTATTCGAGAATCATATAAATTTACCTTGAATAAAGTGATACCATATATAACCGATCAAATATATCAAACTAAATATTCCAGTGAGTCAAAATATCTGAATAATCCAAGCCAAATGAATATGTATATAAATTTTCAAAGTTCGAAAGCTAACACTACATTAGTATAAGAATGTTGTCCCCTACTTTACAATGAAATTTATCAAAAATAAATTTTTATGTCAAAATTTTACATAACTTTAGGTTAAAGTGAAAATAAAAACTATTAAACTGATATAGAATTAACAAGTTTCAAATGTAGATATAAAAAAATTGCATTTTTTTATTAAGTTGCGAGAAAATAATAATTTCAGAAAGTAATTTATTGATTAATTTAAAAATAATATTATTATTTTTGCATGAAATGTTTTGACATAAATCAATATGACATTATTTTCGTTCAAGACTGGTCATCCAAAAATCTATAGTTAATTAATAAAAAAATTGTAAATAATAATTTTCTCAATAAACTTAACCTAATTTTGGTGAATGAGTTTATTGACGGTCATGGGAAGTTGTTTGGTTGTTTTAAGATCTAAAAAGATAAAATTGAAAATCATATATTTGTGTCTGTGATAGTTTCGTTTATCACATGACGTGTGAGTGTGTGAAGAGCGTATCAGAAGAGCAGAGGAGGAAGAGAATAGTGAAGAAGAAAGTGTAGTGGCGTGGAAATGTCGAAGAAAGGAGGAAGTGGCGCTTCGTTTCAAAAGGACGTGCCATGGCGAGCGTCTTCTTCTACTGCGAAACCCTTCCCCAAAATCCACCACTCTCCACTTCTTCGCGTTTCACAAACACCCTTTACCGATTACGCCGTCTCCGTCATGAGGGTCTCTCTCTCTCTCTCTCTCATTGTTTTTCACTTCTCATCGTTGCGTTTCAATAACCCTTTATGCATATTTTTGGGAATTGCTGTGATTTCTCAGCATCCAGACCCTATAGGGAGTGGATTGGGTGATGAGGCCATAGTGGAAGCAGCTGGACCCGACTGCCTCGTACCTGGTCAGAAAATGCCCCTCCAATTACTTGGCCTTCAGGTTCTCTTCTTTCTCTTCTTCTGCCTCTTCAGTTTTTTCAAGCGCTTTAGTTATGCCTAATCAGCTGTTTTTTTGTGTGCTTCTTCTCACATTCAATTCTTTCCTTTTAACCTTATTGATGGCTTTTTGCCGGATTTTCAATCACTCCTTTTATAAAGGACTTCCCCAAAAGCAATTAATATAACAATGTTTCCATATAACTCAACTCAATGGACGATGAGTTCTCTATGTAATTCAATTTTGCATTGTGCACTGTTAATTCATATTATACTAGGATCAATTTGCACTGCCACGGGCGGACTGAAAATAGACAAATTTATTTTTTGTTTTGAATACCCAATAAATATATTTCTTGACTTTGGTTACCTAGTATCTTAAGCAATGTAGTTCAAGTTCCCTTTTTTATCCATGTTGAAAACACTAGTTATACAAGTTGAATTGTTGAGAAATGATATACGTTAGTATAAAGATGTTATGATAAAAATAAAATCTAAAACTATGTCATGAATCAATTAAAAAAGTCAACAGTAGTATAGAAGTGGTATAAGTAAATATTGTTTTTCAGATGCTTAAACCAAAATTTTATAATATATTGAAAAAAAAATTTATTAGGTACTCAAAATAAAGATCATTCATATGTTAAGAAGCTGAAAGTTATTTGAGCCTAAAAAAATATGTGAATTCAACCACTTGCCCCTCTGAGCACATTTTATTTACTTTTGCTCCCTTGTAAAACATCTAGCGTTTCCCCTTCGTGTGGAATGACGCTGTGAATGATTGATGGGTAATGCTAGAATGTACTTGAGCAAGCTTCATGCTTCTTTTGGGAAGACAACGAGAAGGACTGATGCGTTTTGCCTAGATTGACTGTTTTTCACTGATAACATATTAAGTAATAAAATTTGGGGATTTGTCCTGTAAGTATTTTGGCTCCAAAGTCTCAACCATTGTATATCTTCCTTCAATCAAAATAGCCACACAGTTAATGCTCTTTGAGTTTTTGAACTCGTTACCCTTTTATTTGGTTGTTTTGTTAATGTCATAGGGGAGTTTGACTGTTGTTTACGGTGCTTAACTCATGGGCTACAATCATAATATTGATTACATTGATGCATACGCTTCAGAACTTTGAAATACACTTTACAATCATTACCATTTCTCCTATTAGATACTCTATGTTGTTTGCTCCACAAATGGTATGTTCATCTTCATTGTATATCTTAGTGTTTCCATTAATCTTCAATTTTGTTATGATATATTGATCATTACCTATTATGTTTCAAAAAATTTCCTAACATGACAATTCATCTCATAACACCTACTGCGTTATATTTTGATTTATTGTCTATCAAATGCTCTCCACTAGTAACACAAAGAACTAGCAAGGATACTTCTGTTTCAAATCTATCCATGAAACCAGGATACTCTTCCATTTCTTTCAAAATAACCAATTTTCTGAGCATCAGTGGAAAAACATGTGTCATCAGATATTAACATAGTCAGAATTATTATTTCGTCTTTGTCTTTCCTGCATTTTTTATTCAAAATGTAATAGCAACTTGACTTTGTTTACTTGAATTGAATTTAACCATTTCCTTTTAATTGGTCTTGGCATGGCAACCACATTCATACCATTTATCAACCTAGCTCTTTAATGTAATCGTTATTCATTATTTTGTTATTAATAATTTTTTTTTATTGTGTATTTTATTTTTTATTTGAATGATATCGTAAAATTTTATCTTTTATATATTAGTACTTTCAATTTTGTACTATTGTACAGCTATTTAATTGTAATTTATATACAATAGAAGGTTTTGTTCAATTAGTGACAATCTATTATAAGACTATTTTTATTCATTTTTTTAGAGTTTCCAGTTTATGTGGGTCGTATTTATAAAGGTCTATTTTGGAAGATAAGAAATGCAAAATAGAAGGGAGTTTGGTGTAATCTGCTCTTGTTTTTTAAAATTATTTGTTTGTTAATTTTTGTTTTAACTTTCTTTTTTGTTCTTACTAAATGGGTAAGAAGCGCTGTATATCGTCCTGTTTTATAATTTAAAAGCATGTTGTTATGTTCATTGATGCCAAGCTTTCCCTTCTATTGTATTTAAAAGTATATATTTTTCTTTGCGGTAATGCTCTTTAGAAATATATTGTTTTTGGGATAGAGGTGCAGTTTTAACTTTTGCCTTCTTGTTTGGACAGGTCTGGCCAATCCATGTTGACCTGAAGTTTTTGGAACCAGTTGGGCGAGAACTTAAGATGCTTGGAAAGGTGAGGTTTTTTTTTTTCATACATGCAAAGGAATTTGGCCTTCCTGACGTCAATCTTAATGAGTTATTTGCATTTTAATATTGATGAAATAAGGAATATATCATATATAGATTTTGTTGCATATTTCTGAATTGATATACTGCATTTGAATAGCAAATAGGAATGTATCAAATGAGAGAATCATATATTGACATGGAGTCTGCTGACCATACAATGCATTTGGTTTGGTTAAAGATCAAAGTGTCAGATATGTTATTTACTTGAGATCCTTCAAGACCAAATTCTCCAATGGTCCTTCTTGGTCTCCTTCTCTTCACAAGATTAACCACAATATATTCTTCTTTCTAGTGCTTTCCAGTGACCTTTCTTTATGTTCAAACTACCTAAATGTAGATAGTCATCTTTGCCAGATTTATTTGGTTGCTAATTTATAATTTGTCTGTTTATTGTTTGATTTCCGAGGTGATATGTTTACGTGAGACATGCCTTTGTAAATATGCGATGAGGTGTTATGATTGACGTAGTTGTTATTATGCATGCAGTTCATGGATGATGCCGTTGAACTAATGAACAAATCATTCATAGAGCGTTGATGATACGTGTGTTGCGAAGAAATGAAATAGTTGCAATTTGAATTTTTTTAAGGAATTAGAAGTATAGACACTGTAACATTTGGCTGATTTTGTATGTGAGAAAATTGCAGTGTGAGGTATTTTTGTTCGGTACTTATTCCCAGCTTATTAATGGCAATCAGAAAGTATATTTCCCCTTTCCGCATTCATTGGTGATGATGAAGTTGCAAAATTTTAGCAGCAACTTAGCTATGAAAGTGGAGGAGAATGAATATATACAGTCTTAATTAGGCCTGATCCATGGATAGACTTAAGGAGCAGGCAGATTTGATTCGAATGAAAAGAGAAATGAAAGCGTGACATGATTGGTTAGTTTTGCTATAGAATAACCGTGAAGATTATGGTGGAAGACAACAAGAGAAGAAAAAGAGACGGCGGAAGGATTGTTGCAGTGGTGGACATGTCGTCGGTGTATTCCATGCCGGACTCCATAGATTCATCACCAGGTCCTCTGCTCCACATTCCGAGGTTGTTGTCCCTGTTCATGGTGAGGTGAGATCAACCAGAAATAGATAAACAAGAATTAGATAACATGTAGAGAGAAAGATTAATTCATTGATACCTGGCATTTCCAAGAACACCGGAGGACATGGTGAGAAGAGAGATACGATCGGCTGACTTAGGTTCAACGCTGTAGGCTTTCTCGTACTTGACCTCGAGGCCCTCGCCAGACGCCACGAAGAAGGCACCGTTGAGTAAAATGTCACCCTCGGACCTCCAGTTCCAGCCCTTCCACTTTGACTGTTGGGTGTCCACTCGTTTCGTAACCTCCTTGGCGAAGGGGTTTTGGGGTGCCATGTAACGGTTCCCCTGACTGTTAATGGTGGGTTCGCCGCTGCCACCGATGGCGTACATCTCCCACTCCGTGAAGTCGTTGTTGACGACGTGGATGTAGCCCCTCCGGCAGCGGGGCATTCTCTGGACCAGCTTCTCTCCGAAGTGGTTGAAGGCGATGGTTACCTGCATGCCGGAGTCTGGGAGGTAGTCGTCGCTGTGGCCCAGGAGCATCACCTCATTGTGGTGTGAGAGGTAGTTGTTCGAGATGGTTATCCCCGTCGACCCCATCACCGCGTCTATCAGCCCGTCCTTGCACCGCGACAGCGTGCAGTGGTCGATCCATATATCCTTCGACCCGAATATAGATATTCCGTCCCCGTCCGACTCTGTCCGGAATCCGTAGTGCTCCGGGCTTGACCGAACATTCGTGTTCCCTGCACAGCGCAACCCGCTTTATCTTCGTAACTCAATTTTATTCTTTCCATCATCCTCATTAGATGTTGGAATCTAACCATGTACAGAAATGCAGGAATCAACCCTAAAATTGCTGCTACTACTACCAAAGAAAGAGTATAGGTATGATCATTAAAGTAACTTATCCAAACGATTTTTATCAATATTTACTAAAACTAAAACGACTACTTTTTTAAAGCTTGTCCAAATATAAAGCAAACCAATCTTGAAATACTTTATAACTTTATACAAAACCCCTCCAAAACAAACACAACTTTATCTATTTATCTATTTATCAAGCCCCAGCGACTTGGTCACTGAGATGGGGATTCGATCGGATAAAACAAGGATGTCCCTACTGGAAGAAAAAGAAAATGTATCATTTTTCACAACCTTCCAATTTGGTGTCATTATAATTGTAGTTATTCTCATTCAATCAACAATGTATCATTATGTTGAGGAAAACAACAGACCTGAGGGATGACAATGATGGATGTGAATGTTGTGTATGATGACATTGCTTATATACTGCAGAGTAATGCAGCCTCCTCCAACGATGTGCACATCAGCACCGCGTCCATCAATGGTCTTGTAGCTGTTAAAAATCAGCTCCTGGGACAGCTTAATCATCATGTTACTGGGGAAGACGATCCAGAGTGGCTCGTTCTGTATCACAGCGTATCTCAGCGTCCCAGGTTTTGGGTTCACAGGGTCCCCGTCAGAGGAATCGGTGACCACGTAAAAATCACCACCTTTCCCTCCCTTTGCATACTGACCAAACCCAATGGCGCAGTCAGCCAGCCTCTGCCGGTTGTTGGGCCAATCCGGGTCACATTTCCAACAATCATCAATGGGGTTCCCCGTTAGACACGAAGACTCGTCTCTCTCTGACACTGATAACATCTCCCTTCTTGCAATTGAAGCATTAACCTTCCTACACAACAACCAAAACAAGGGTCAAAACTCTATCCTCTATAAAAGGTACAACTAGCGATGGAACGTCACCCTTTTTCCAGATCTACTCTATATTTATGTAATATTGTACAAAACTAACTACATTATCGAGTTCAACTACGATGATGAGCATAGCATGTGGTATACAGTGTATACATAGTGTGAATGTATGTACCTATGAACTTCGTGGGCAACAGCTTCGGGGTCTGGATGTGCTCCTGGAAGGGTTAGGTTAAGCATTGCCGTTCCAAGTGGTGAAAAAGAAGTTAGAAGTGAGAGTAGGAAAAGGCAGCTTGTCTGGAGCATTGTCGATGAAGAATGGGTTGCAGTTTTTGGTTGCGCAATGCTCTCAGTCCGAGTCACTCTGAGAGTTACTAGTTACTGTACCATGGCAAGTTGTCGAAAAGTGTTAGCCAGTGTTGGGTTAGCCGAATTAATAAGCAGGGAAAGTGAGTGATTGCAATGATAACTAACGAACGAGGTTTAGTGTGAACAGAGGCATGGGATAAACGAACTTTTGTGTATAAGTATAGTAATTATACGTGGTGGTATTTTACGATGTTCGGTGGTGCTGAAAAATAATGATTGTAGAGTGGTTCTTTTGATTAATTTATTGATGGAAAAAGGCAAAAAAGGGAGCGGTGAGTGAGAGAAGTAGAAGAAAGGGTCGCGCATTGTCAAGGAATCACCCTGCTCTCGAGGAAATGGTCTCTTCATTTGTTTGCGGGACAGGTAGACACAGACACTGTCACTGTTCCAAACAAAATTATCATCAATATTACTGCAATCTCTCTTCTTTTCCTTTTTCCTTTTTTCATACACAAACAGAAACTAAAAATGTCGTGTGAGATTTTTATGAATATACTTAGTAATGGATTTTTCGTTAATTCTGAGCGTTAATGAAGTGATGAATGCATGGAAGAAGATGAAGTAGGCTTTTGACTATTGGACCTATACCTACGTATGGGCGGCACAGGTTACGAGGTTTTGGCATGGTTGAAAGCTCAAGCATCCATGTAACAAGGCGCTGATTTTGAATGCAGACACAGATACAAACTTATTTATAATTCTGCTGCCGTTACTTTTCAAATTTTCTATTCACGTATATCTTAAATAACAAGTATTTTAATGTTTCGCAAATATTTCTTAATTCATTGTTAAAGATTCATTTCTTTTAAGATATCAAAACCAGTGAAGACTGTTTTTTCTCCCTAGATAAAGTGTGGTAAGGTTAAACTTTAACTACTTATTTGTCCTTTGTATTATTTTATATTGAAAACTATTTCCTACAAACATAATAAAACAAAAGGGTTAAATATGTTTTTAGTCTCTAAACTATTGGTCGTTTCTGGTTTTCGTCCCTCTTTCAAAGTAAGGTACAATTTGGTCCTCATTCTTTTTGAAACGTTCGTTTTAGTCCTCAGAATTTTGGTTTTAGTCCTCATTTGTTGCTAAATGAGGACCAAATTTTTAAACAGTGTTTAGTTTTCGAGGACTAAAACGAACGTTTCGAAAAGAATGAGGACCAAATTGTACCTTACTTTGAAATAGGGACGAAAACCAGAAACGACCAATAGTTTAGGGACTAAAAACATATTTAACCCTAAAAAAAAATAAAGAATACTTATTAAAACAGCATTTCCAATGCATTAGCTTTAGTTATGACATTAAATTTAAAACTAGGATCCCAGAATAAAAAATATTTAATTATAATAATTTTTTGAAATTGTAAAAAATGAAAACAACATTTTAAAAATTATAAAAGTATAAGTCTTCTAAGAACAATTGAGTATATTTAAGCCAAAATAAAATGTTAATGTCTTTACAATGAAGATGGTCTAATATTAAAAGTTGATAAAGTATTTGCATGCAACCAATATGTTTAATGGGATCAGCATGCTTTAATTTTATATTATAGTTAGTGCACATAAAAATGCTCTTAACCTTAAAATAAAAAATAGGAGAAATTATTAAAAAATGAATTTATTTGAATTAAGTGACGTAGAGCGAAACATTCCACAAACATGATCACATAAACTTAATTTTTAGCAATAAATTTATTTGAATTTACATAATCATAATATATAAGCCAAATTCAATTTTTTTTACAAATCCATTATAATCTACCTCTTCAATGGTAAATCAACCAATTTAAACAATTAAGATACTCGTCTATGAAAAATCTAATCAGTACTAGTAATATCAGAATTGATAGTTTCTCATAGTACTCGTTTATACTGTCATAACAACATAAATATCACAGTATCATATCCACCACAACAATATTATAATAAAGACTTTTAGAAATAAATTCAATCGTGAGAAAAGATTTTTGGAAATAATCTAAATATGAATTAAAGTACTTAATTGAATATAAATGACAAAATTAAATAATATAAAAGAAAAAAGATTCATAAACTCACTCTTAAAATTTTTGGAATAAAAGTGATATATATCAAGTCTGTATATAAATTGGACTTAAGCCACACGAATATAATTTCTAATTACTCATTTAAAAAAAATCATCATAAATGAACCCAAAATTACTATAGTATTATAATGTATCTTTAGAATGCTTATTATTCTTAGCACTAGAAAACTATTCTACTTAAAGACCCGTACAAAAAAATGTACAGTATCAATTTTCATGAATTTGGGATAAATTGTGGAAATGCTATTACCCAAATCAATGGGGGATGACATGCAGTCACTGTTCTACGGCTAACTTTTGAGAGTGCTTACATTATCTATTCAACCTTTTCTTTTGGTGACATATTATGGCCCCAACATTAAAGAAAAAGGTCAAAAGAAACCACAAAAGAAAATTGTAAAATTGAAAAAAGAAAATAATAATATACGTATCTATATCAACTACACACTAATCATACAGTTGCTTTGCAAAGTGTTGTCTTTTTTTATATTATCCCACTAAACCTTTATAAACTGTTGTAGTTTTGAACCAAATATAAAATGGCTTTTATGACACCGGAAAATAGTTACGAAAGTAAAATAAATATCTGCTGCATATTCCATTCACACATATATATATTCTTTTCGTCTCTTATATGTAAAGTAGAAAAAAACATCTCTATATCCGCGAGATACTGCTTCTTTATTTTTATATTGTTATTTTCTTTTTCAGACAGTTTGCTACCCTCTTTGAGTGTGGGTCCTCCTCATCACTTACTAAATTTCAAAATGCCTGTGTTTTGGTTTTGACAATTAGGTAACTCAATTTGCATTTGTTGTCACGTGTATTCACTTCATAAAATTAACACATGTAATCTCAAATATGTCTTTCAAATAGAGCCTTGCCACGACTGTGAGGTGGATGAAATCAAGAATAAACGAAGAGGAAGACATAAATAATAAAATAATTTTAAATAAAAAATACTCAAAGAACATATTACTTTTAACAAAAAAGTTCCATTTTAAAAAGTAAGTGTCGAAATTTAAAATAATTTAAATATTTTTATTTTATTTTTTAAGACACATTTTTAAGATAAATGTGATGGATAAAGTTTTAAAATAAAAAATACTCTAAATATATATTTATTGATCTTGTTAAGAAGTTTGAGCGTGATAATAGACATTCATGTGTAATCTAATAGTGGGTGAAACAATATATTCACATAAATCTCATCAGGATTGACTCACTCTGATAGCATATTAAGGTGGATTTAAGTCTGATAGCACCCACTTATGTAATATAAATTGGGCTAATGTTTAACCAATGAAAAACTTTCTAACATATTTAACTATATTACTTGATAAACTTAAAAAAGAAGCACAGTGTGAATATTTATTGTCCAAAATAGACCCATCTACGTTTCACGTTGAGGATTTGATATATAAGAAAGCGAATCTTTTGGGTATGCAATATCCCAAAAGACATTTACCTAATAATGGTTGTAATTTCAACGTGAGTTGTGATTCATGGTTTGAATTAGGGAGTCATTAAGGAATATAAGTGGTGAGGGACGACATACTGACATTTGAAGCAAAGTTTATGGTGGTACTAAAACTCATAATTATATCCTACATTTTCTCTATCACGTTCATATAATTACCACTTATCACTAATAACTATTTTGACCATTTCTTGTGAAAGAAAAAGAGAGTTGAAGAAAATGTTAAATAAATTATATGATTATATAATTTACAGTAGATATGATAATAATTGGAAGTGAGGTTTTGCGAAGATGCAGCACACTGCTACAGACTGGGAGAATTTATGTGCACCTTTTTGACTTTGTTATAGTGATGTGGGATCCACTGTCTGTGAGACAGTGTAATGAGTAATCCCCAATATGTGGCAGGTGAGGTTGAAGATTCTCACTCACAAAGAACGTAATTAATGGCAATTTATTTTCTGCAATTCATAGAATGGATCTATATGGGCCTTGGCGTTCTACAGTGTTATTTTGGAACTATCAAAGTATTGTAGTCTATTAAAGGATATAACAGATAAAATATTCGCTTTAAATTAAAAACAAAGTCGCAAAAAAATTTTACTAATATTTTTCTATTAAATTAATTATAAAATTATATTTAAAAAAACCTCATTAATATATTTTAGTATTAACATATTTTTATTAAATTAATTATTAAATTATATTTAAGAAAAATTATTTTATTTTTTAATATTAATGTACTTCTATTACATTAATTATAACTTTATATTTAAAATTAAAATTTAATTAAACTATATATTATAAGTATCTTTTAATTTTTTTAATTAAAAATTATATTTAATGAGTTTTTTTTCAGTAAAGTATAGTTTTGTTTAGAAAACAAAAATAGAATGCTTAGTATATTTATTATTTTATAATCAATTTTAATTTGTATTTTCTTTTTTTTTATATTTTTTATTTATTTCTGAAATACTGATTATACTCATTGTCTCTCTTTGTTTTTTTTTTCTGTTTTTCTTTTATAAAAATATCATGCCGTAACACCTATAATAACAATGTTAATGTTAATTTAACGAAAATATCTAATTGAATCGTTTTAACAAAAAAATTAAGAATTAGTTGAACAAGAAATAAAGAAAATAAGGGGATCAAACATTGGTGCAAGAAAAGACTTTGAGAGTGGTTATTTTGAAAACTTCAATTAACCAAAGCATATTCAAGCAAACTAAAAAATGTAGGACATTAGGCTTCGGGATCATAATCGTCTTAAGACAAGATCGTCTAAAGATTAAATAATTTAAGCAACTCAGGCTTTGAAGTTTAAAAAAAACATTAAAGAAATATCGCTTTGTATGAAAAGTTTTAAACAAACAACGTCTAAGAAAAGAAAGTGTCTCTCTTATTTAAATCTTCTAATAAGACGTTATGGGTAACAAAAGGTGTTTTATAACCACATACAATAGCAGCTACAAAACACAAACAAAATACGATTCTTTGTCAATTTACTTTGAATTAAAGTTTTGTAATGTACATATATAAAGTAAAATAAAACTCAATCAAAGAAACTACTCTAGTAAACTATTATACAAATTCACTATAACTAACTCAAAATCTTAAAGCCAACTACAAGCCTTAAAAATGTTTAGAGCACCAAGTGAGGAATTGTGTATTGTGTGAAGAACCTGAACAAATAATACTTACATTAAGAATAAAGAATTATGAAACAGAAAAGAAAAATCACAAGACAAGAGAAAGAACCTCTTGTTGCTTTCAAAATGGAAGGAAAGAGAGGATCATAATCACAATGCAACAACACAGTTTGTGTTAGTGACATGGAAGAGAAAGGAAGGGAGGAGAATGGAAGAGTGCTTGCGAAAGAGGTGACAATTCACGTTTGGTGAAAGGGAAGAGAAAGCAGGAGTGGTAACGAAAACGAAATCGTGGTTCACATTTGATAACGAGGAAGAGAAGGAAGTGAAGGAGTATGACTCTTGCATGGAGGAATGATGTATTGTAAAAAGTGTTTCTTAATAGTTGAGTGTAAGCGATGCAATGGAAAAGCTTGGTGCAAGAAGTAAAATTTTTGAAATTGTAACTCTAGCGGATGAATCTCGATTATTTAAAGAGCTTAATATTATAATTGTGAAAAAAATTCAAAAATATCACAGCATTTTAAAAGATTTCATTTTCCTTGAAAGTGAAGTCTATTAGGCGATTTCGAAAATATTTTTGTATTAGTAAAATTGAATAATTGAAAGGAAAATTAGAACAAAAGATAATTTAACCTTATTTTTATTATTCTTGCAACTCTTCTGTTTATTTTAACATTTTATTTTTGACATCCCTTAATTAACTCACTAGACAATAAATTTTGTTAAATAAATTCTAATTCATAACTATTATACTGTTTTAAGAAAAAAATTATAAATTTATCTCAACATTATAAAATTATTAATGAAAGGAAGATCAGTATTCACTTTTATGCTAAAAATCTCATGTGAAGATATGCTTGCATGTATAAAATTATTAATGAAAGCAACCAAATACTTATTTTAAAACTTCAAAACCCATCGTTCAACTATAAATTTAAATTGGATAAGCCAAAAGACCAAGTATAACTCTTCTTCCTCGGTCAACAAAATTTATAATCCGAAAAATATCAAACAATCCTTTTGGTTCTATATAACAACGATATAGAGATAATAAACAATAAATCGAGGAAAAATCAATTCAAAATATTTATTCGTCTGTTATGCGCTTCCCCTCGGGAAAACGCTTATTTTACATAAAAAGAATGAAGCAAACCAATGTAAAGTGAATAATAAAAAAACAAATAGAGCAATGCTCGAACTAATACAGAGGCTTATTAACGTAGAGCCGTACGCTCCTCTGATTTAGAGGCTGTAGTGGCCTTGCGTTCCTTGGAGCATACTGTGTACATAACAAATATTAATATAAGATGAAGTCCATGAACAAATTTCAAGGAATAAAAACTTAATTTTGAATTAGGGTTTATTTTACTCAGAAGAAATTACTTACAGGTATAAGTACACTATTCTTCAGTAACTCCACTTGTCCTATTGAAACAGTTCTTATCTAATGAAATTTGGTAAAAATGCAGAATGATTAGAAGGTCATAATGATAGTTAGTAATAAAGGAAATTTACGTGCATGTGAAGTTGATTATGAATAAGAAGGATAACGTATAGAAAAGGTATCTAGCTATATACCTCCTTATCAATGGTCCAAATGATGCCTTCGGTGCAAGGAGGTGCAGTGAGTGATCCTATGTACCTGTAGAACATCTTACCACTCATGATCTCTGAGGGATCAATTTCTGTAACACTTTCTTCTTCGTTTTCTTTAACACTTTCTTCTTCGTTTTCTTTAGGAATGTCCACTAGGTATTGTTCCACCTGAAAGTAATGTATAAATATATATATATATATATATATATATAATTTGAACTTCAAATCTTCTTGACGAAGTCAGTTTCTACTTCATAAAGCTTTAAAAAACATGAATAATTTAGAATATTTATATTTGAGAAGAAGGAAACGAGAAGAAGTGATTGTGAAGGGAAATTAACCTCCGGCCGTCAATGGTGTGTTCGGAGGGCCAGTGCCAATGGATTTGTTGGAGGAAAAAAGACGATCCATCTATGTCTATTGAGCCTGCATCCCCTCTCAAATCCACCTGCATCAATGAGAACGTAAAATTTTAACCAGAAGTCAAATTTAGTATATGATTGTTGAAGTTAGTAAATTTATAAAGTAAAACAGTCACATATTATGTTGTATGGTATTTAATGCAATATGAGCAACCAGCATTAACTACTTACTGCAACATCATGACCTCTGTTGGAGAGAGTAGCATATTGAGGGTTATAGGTCCAATACTTGAGACCCCCTGCCTTGGGAATCAGTTGCACAACGTTTCTGGACAAATCAATAGGAGATTGCATTTGCCCTGTTTTGCAGGCTGCCCATGCTTCTTTAATATCACCCCAGTACTCAGGCCCATTTGGACTATCTTCATCGTAACCAAACTCTGCACCATATCAAGAAAACATATTTACAACACCAATATTTAATCATACTTTATATGTAGCTTTACTTTTCATTTTTTATTTTTCTATGTTTCTTATGGAGCGAATTTACGGAATTGAAAACTTGAGCGAGAGAGGTTATAGCAATAAAATTTACCAGGTTCATCCTCATGAAGAGCTCTAGTTAATATTGCGGAACAAAATAAGATGGATATCAGAGAAATTGCAATCGAAATTCGCTTCATGTTTCAGGTGTTTTTTGAGAGAATGCTAAGTGCCACAGAGATTATTAGCTCTTGAATATGTTGTTGATGGAGAGATTTGGTGCATGTGCTTGGGTATTTATACACTGCCAAGAGTAGAAGAAGTGGTTTTGGATTTGGTCTGGTGGTAATTAATTAAGAAGAAATCTTATTTGAACTTTTCTTTATATGAATGTTACCAAAGTTTTTTCTTTAATTAATTAATCTTTCTCCTTTCAGCTTCTCCAATTTGCCTCTTATTACGTTAATTCGCTACTTTGGGTAAAAATGGTTGAGTATCCAAGTGTGAGTTCAAGTTTCACATTGAATAAAAATGAAAAAATATAACAGTATATAAAGGAGAAAGAATCGTTAACTTATTATCCTAAAGTTTTGGGTGAAAAGTGATATCAATTCCTTTGTCCCAATGTTATATCGGTGTGTTTCTGTAACCTATTAGTAAGTAACATAGGATAACCTCCTGCCCAACAAAAACCAAGAGAATCATTCTACTGTCTGATTTTTATAAGATACAAGATGGAATATTTTACGATGTCAGACAGTGGGAAAAAGCAAGTTCAATTTTCGTTTGTGGTTGACCTAGTTCGATGTTTCACCTTATGGAATTATTGACGTAGAGAGGTACTCTGTAAAAGAATTAAAATAGTAAAGTCAGTTTGGACATGGTCAGAGTGATCGCAACCACTATGGGGCGAATGAGTTCATGAACATATTGGCATTTATATATTGCATGTTGAAGATATCAGATTGGTTTTAACGAATGTTGCTGAAGTTGGTATGAATGAAGAGATGTAATTGGCCAAATGTTAGAAGCAGCCTATAAAGTTTTGTTAGGTGATTGAGACGCACACATAAGCCATTTGAAGGTGTCAGATTGTTTAACAGGTAAATAGATGAAGTGATGTAATTCACGTATCTATATATTATTTACAATTGATCGGAACATCACCAACTGGGGTAGCCATTATCCACCTTGCTTCAGAAACCATGTCTTTCATTCGACTGATGAACATGCATGAATTCCATCACCATTGGCATCCGACACTGACATACTTTTGCCTCCTGTGCTTAAATTACGTCACCTTTTAACTCACTCTTTTGCCATTTTCTAAATTAATTGTTTTTTTTTTCCTTTTAGTATGAACTGATAACTTATATATTGTCCATGATACGATGTATGAGTTCGACCGCATCATCTAAATCAATATCTTATCTGCATATGGCAGCAGTGGATTTTTTTTTTCTCGTCTGTATAAATTCATTATTGACTTGTTAAATTCAGTTGTAAAGGACATTAAATTCAGGAGATGCTTAATTATTTGCTATTTTCCCAGGTATCATTAATTAAGTATTTTGCCTACCACCACGACATTCAAAAATTATGGTCCTTTAATTTTTACTGAAAATAATAAATAATTTATTTTCAAAATTTTGATTTAATTTATTTTTTCAATTTTAAAAATAAATTGATTTAATCTCTTTAATTAAATTTATTTGATAAATGAAATAGTTTAATGTATTTGAGTTGTTTACACGGATACATTTTTACTTTTTAATGTTAATCGAAAAACTTGTCTTAAATATAAAAAAAAAATTAATCAAATTTAATAAAAAAAGGGCTAAATTTATTCTTATTATAAATATTAAACACTAAATTAATTCAAAATTTTAAAACCAAACTCGTAAAAGTTAAAAAATTAAAAATATATTTAATTAATATATTTAAATCTTACTTTTTCTTTTATTTTAAAAAATATGCCGAAATCAGTGTCGTAAATATGTATAAATCTCTTAGTTTTGTGTCTTTTATTCGGTTAATTAAGGGAGTTGTTATTCTCCTTCACAATTGCTTCAACATTTCTTTGTTTTTTCTTTTGTTATTGCAAGAAAGTAATACATTTAAAAATGATGAAATATTCTATGAAAAATTATTTGTTTAAATATAGAAAGATTTCAAAATTTATAAAAATATAATTTGGCTATTTGAAATATTTTATAATTTCCTTTCTTTTTCAAATTCATGTGTTTTTTTTTTCATATTCTTTCTTTGACTTTAATATTGTGGGTTTGGAACATCAGTAACTTGATCAAGTCCAAGATATCATAAATTGAATTTGTTTTTTCATTGATGTCAATGGAATAACTTTTTAACTTAAAGTCAATATATAATTATTTGTTAGTTGTTACCATCAGTGTTAATTTTTTTTGTCAACCTAGACCAATGTTATTTCTCGTGCTAAAACATTAATTAGTTTGGATGTTTTCCGTCTGATGTTAATTGGAATTTTTTCATGGGCTCTAATGAGATTAATTTTCAACTAATATAAGTTAGAACCATTTAATAAATATTGATCTATAATATTTTTTAACTAATATTGTTGAAATTATTTATATGATGATATAAGATAGAACTGTTTCTTATTTAATGTTTGTTAAATTTTCTCAATCATTCTATGTTTATCCTTATTAACCAAGTTTTGTTTTAAAATGTATTATAATTATTTTTTTATCTCTACAGATTAAAATAGTAACTTTTGTATTTAATGTTAATTGAAATATTCTATTCAAATAAGAAATTAAACAATTTAAAATAAACATAATTAAAATGTAGTATATTTAAAATTTTAAAAATTATATATTTCGCTGTTCAAACGCAAATTGTCGAATTTGCAATTTCTAATACCGTTGATAGTTTGGTTTGAAGAAAAATTGCATAAAAATATTAAATTTAAACTAAAAAAAATATTTTGAAGAATCGAATAATTTCAAATAAACTGAACTGATATTATATTAAAAAAATTCTAAATTGTTACAAGTTATTGAACCTTTTTATTTAAAAGATGACTTTGCAAAAAGTTAACAAACAAACAAATTTGTATAGACTAAAAAATATTGTTCTATTTTTTCTCTGTAAGGAAAATGTTATTGATCAGCTTTTCTGGTCGTTATCCTTTTACGCACTCTTGATTCGATCTAAATACATGTAGTACATTTTTAATTCTATAAGGATCAAAATAAAAATATATCATATGAAAAAGAAATAAATTAGATTTAGATTTTTATAAGTTCAAATTTAATTTAGCAATAAGTTAATGCATAAAAAATTCGAAAATTTCTCAGTATATAAACTAATTTTAATTTATAAAAGGTTTAATTTTATTTTTCTTCTTTATGTTTTTGTCTTTTATTATAAAAGTTTATTCAAAAAAATCCTTGTACATATTTCAAGAAGGTATGAGTTTTATCATGTAATTAAATACACGCTGACATAGCGTACCTTGATAAGATGTCTACTTTTATCTATTTTTTTTGTATATTTATTGTTACTAATAAAATTAACTCTGTATTGTTTTATATTTTGTTTAATCGTTAAGTTTATTTATTTTTTAGTTATTTTGTGTTTGTTTTAGTTTAAATTTTCATTTATGTGTATGAAATAAGTAAATAGAAATATATTTTAGAAAAGGAAACAAGTTGGAATTCGAAAAAAAATAATTGAACAACAAAAGAAGGTTTTGATGAAAGAATGTCTGTATCAAAGGTCATAGGACCAACGTTCAGCATTACAAACAGATAGAGAAGCGTTACCACCTGCATAGGCCTATTCATTGGGTGAGAATATAGCTCACTAAAGCGTTGTCAATCCACATACTCAATGTTTGAGTCATTAGACAACGAGATGACTTGTTCAGTGAGTTGCAAGTTAGAGAACACCTAATTTTATTATGAATTGTTAGATAAGAGTGTTGTCGAACTTGATACACGAAATTATATATTTAGTCATGTTTCTACGAAGATTTTAGGGAATTCCTCATTTGTACAGATAAAAATCGTTTTACAGTGTTTTGGGAAAGACTTTTGAAGCTTCCTAGGGATATTGAAAAATTCTTTGTTTTCCTTCTTGGATCTCCTTCTTCATCCATAAAGGTTTCCCCTCTTTTGTGTTGAAGAGGAATAATATTGACAATTAAAAATGTTGAGGCGAATGAGAGACACAATTAAAACTTGAAACAATTATTAGGTGCCTTGAAAAGGAGCCTTCTTCTTTTCTTAGCATTCTCTAGGTTTCGAGGTAAGGAAAGCTTGTAATTTAATTGTGATTCTCGTTTCATGACTGTTTACTTGCTAGAATGATGTTATGTTTGATGATTTGGTTGATGTTGAAATATTGCATGTTTGTTTGGATGTATTGATGATTGATGAAAAGGCATAAATTGGGTAGGAATATAGTTTGATCGTGATTCTGCAATAATCTGCCAAATTCTGTAAATTGTAACTGAGAATCATTCGTGACCGTTCGTTTTTTTTTTTTGGTGTGTTCGGTCTTAACTGGATTCTCCTTCTAAAGAGAATTTCAGTTAATGACCGTTCGATCTTTTATTGGTAGGTTTGAACACTAAATACTTAGTTTAAGTTTAGTTTTCTATTTCTACTTAGTCATCAGCCTAGTCAGGGTATTCAAATAAGTTAAGTAATCAACATTATAGTCGTTTTCAGTATGTGAATAGATGTTAAGTTGTTTTCGTGGTCAGCTTTATATATATATATATATATATATATATACATATATAT